GTAATTCTATTGTTAAAGATGTTAACTGACACATGGAATGCAATAACTGTTTGCAGGTTGTGTCGCATTAAAAATCAACAGGTTGGACCATGAACAACTGGAGCAGAGCATCTGAGCCCTACCCCCACGCACACACACACACACACATATATCAGAAGCTAACTGAATGACTTTAGGTACAGACCACAGAAAAGGTCAAACCAGAACCAAGGAAAAACGTGTCATCCAGACCACAAAGAAGGCAATTACTAAATTGTGTGAATGTTATTGTACACTTTTCAAGGAAGTTATGGACTGTAAAGAGAAAAAGGTGAACATGTTGCAGATTTCAGAAATTATCTTGAACGTCGGTTTGAGTTGTACAAAGGAAAACAAGAACATTGAACACACACATATTGCATCTCTGGACTATTAAAGAATGGCCACTGTTTGGCCACACTCATTAAAGACGTTGAAGGAGCCTACCAGAGCTGAGAAGATGGAAAAGGAAAATTTATACACTCACACCATGATTAAAATCTTCATTTCTGATGATCAAAGAGTGCCAACATATTTACTGATGTTTTCTTAATGATTAGTTCCTCACACACTAGATGGAGGACTAGAAATCCAGAATATGAAAATGACACTGTTGAATGTTGCTAAGTACTGTACTGACATTGGATTATTTCAATTGATTGTGTATTATGTTTGGTAAAATTATTTTTCTTAACAGGTTACAGTTTCAGACGTATGACAGTGGTGGGTCCATATATTCCTGATTGGTTATGAGTAATTATTAAGCTTGAGTGAACTAAAATTTAGAGTTGACACTCTTAAATTGTTTAACATGATTAAGGGTTTATAATGTTAAAAAGGGCAGATTGTTATGGAATTTTATGATCACTCAAGAAGTTTATTAACATGTAAGTCTTATAGATGTTGTTTAGGCCAAAAGGCACAGAGGAAAGAATGTTTAGGATAAAGTTTCATGATAGGGGACACATGTCTATTGACCTATTGACCTCAAGAAAGGTCCTGGGAAGGAAATAGATGTCACTAAGTAACTTTGCGGCTTGGCTTGGCAAAGTATGGAATTGTATGGGCCTTTGTCTGTTAAGAAAAACAAAGATAGTTGACCTCCTCCTTAAGTTCATAAGGCAATGACCTGGTGGTTATCTGATGAACACATGTGGTCTCCACTCATACTGCTTGAGGCACAGGGGTCAGGTTTTGACATCCCCCCTTGTGCCAATCAAACTGTCCTGCCTACTTCTGAGGATACATCTGTCTTCCATCAATACTGTGTGTCAAGTATGTGCGTTACTGATTCTCCATAAATACTGTGTGAACTTCTATCTCATCAGGTCAGTCTGATCCAGCACAGGTTATTGTCCTGTTGTCTGATGAAGACTTTCCTCAAACCTATTCTTTAAAGCTTGCTATAGGGATTGATCTGATCAATGCAAAAGCTTAAACCTGTATTTGAGAAATGGTTTCTTACTTGCAATTAAACCTGTTAAAAGTGTTAAACTGTAACATACTCTCGTGCGTCTTACTTTAAGTCCGAATTCAGCAATTAAAGTCTAAATTTCCACGACAGTACGCGACGCGAGGACAACGGCGGGGTTAGATGCCGAGGTGGCGAGTTCGAGCCTCACCCTGGGCTGTGTTTTTTTTCACCCTCCCAGATAATTACTAGTAGGGATGATAATAATAAACCGATTACAGTGAAACACGTGCACATTGTTGTATTTCGGCCTCCTCCTTTTTGCAACACTCTGAGGGCTGTGAAAAGAGATCGAGTGTCACTCTGACTCGCTCGACTCGGGGTGTGTAGGCGATGCGAGGACAACACGAGGGTTATACAGCAATATGCATGGGCACAGTACGGGAGGTTCATTTTAGGGGGGCGTTTTAAAATCCACACCCAAATTGGCACAGCACACAACCCTGGGAAGCAGTGTAATACAGACGAAGGAAATGTAAAGATGACTGTGTATTGTGAGTTCTTACAATTTGCACAATGTTCCATACTCTGCATACGTACAAGCTCTCTTGCCCTGCTCGCTGCCCTCTGGTCTCAGAAACACACTGTCCTTTGCTGGTCTCACTGTCCTTTTCTGTTCTCAGAAACACACTGTCCTTCGCCATCGCTGCTGTCTTCGGGTGTCAGAAACACGTTCTCCTCCCAGCTGCCTCGGCTCCCGGAAACACAAGCTCTTTTTGCCCCGCCGCTGACCTCTGGGCTCAGAAACACACTGTCCTTGGCCTTTCCCCTGTCTTCTGGTGTCAGAAACA